AACTTTCGCGAAAGGCACATTTAGCATGCAGTTGTCGTTTTATATAAATTATGCCACAAGGGGCTTTAGATCAACTACCATATATATATATATGTAGATAGATAGATCGATAGTCGTAAAGGCCTCAGGTATTCTTTAACAGCAGCCAGTGCCAAACAGATATTACGAGCCTCAGTAATTCGAATGGGGCTTTGCGGCATAGGGCACTGTAGTTGCACACCCTAAATCCTCAACCCTAAACCCTAATCCTAAACCCTAAGTTCTAAACCCTAAACGGATAGTGCCACTAATCATTCCGACCGACTATGCTATTAGCTCTCTGGCCAGGGCTTCGTTTTAATCTAAGGCCAGAAGTGTGGGCCCCTAATATGGACCCTTAGGCCTTTCTACGGTCCCTTAAAGGTACATATAGGGTATATAGAAGGTGTATAAGGATCCCGGGGTTAAGGGCCCATACTAGGGGCCCATGGTTTCAACCTTCGTTTTACATGGCGATGCACTTGAGCTAAGACTGGGCTATGGGCTGCTGAGGTTCATGCCTAGGGGCCTTATAAAATCCTGAGTTTAGGGTTTAGGCTTTAGGGGTTTAGGGGTTAGGGTTTAGGGTTTAGGGGTTTAGGGGTTTAGGATTTTAGGAGTTTAGGGTTTAGGGGTTTAGGGGTTTAGGGTTTAGGGGTTAGGGGTTTAGGGTTTACTTCCTTGTTCTGCTTCTTATCTATATGCAGAGCCTCAACAAGATACGTTCGTGTCGCTACAGGTAGGGTTATGTAGTGATTAGGCTTCCAGCTGCGGGATGCCTGCCGAAGACCCACAAATTTTGACATTGAGCTTTCACGTTGGCTTCAAGGCCTTGTGGGCCGTCGTTTCCCCTTCGTCGTAGCACCTTCGGCTCGCTCTCACACAGCATCGTGCTGAGTGTTGCACGCGCCGTCCGTGAGGCAACGTATTGTCTTAGAGAACCCGGGAGTTCATACGGTTGATGATATAAAACATGCATTACCCATAATAAGGAATAGTGCTGGATCAATATCATCAACAGTACTTCGTATCTCAGCACAGCGAACCGCTGCCTTCCTCGGTAGCTTGCTGGATATGCTGCTCTTGTGTCCTTTTCGAGCCATACAAGATGGATGGCTTGAAAGGGACACAAGAGCAGCAAATTCTTTGATGAAGGAGAGACACACCTTCTCAAGCTGTCTCGCCTGAAGAAGATGTGCTTGACACAGCATGCCACAAACCTGTGATTGCTCGACTTGTTCTGAAAGCTGCACCTCGCACCAAGGCTGCAGCCGTTTCACTTGATACTTGTGACTCACGGCCAACAGTGCTTGAATCCTCGACAGCTGAGGGCTGCCGCTCTCGCTGTCGGACTCGTTTGAGGTCCCCTGCGGATAGAGGTTCTGGGCGTCAGACAGTTCGTCCGTGTACAGAAACTGCAGGAAGGCCTTGAAGGTGACGAATTCGCAATCCTCGATGACGATGACCTTAAGTGACGCTCTGTTGCGGGGCTGCAGTCAGCTGCTTGCTGAAGACCTCGGATCGTGCACAAAGAACCTGCGAGTGGGCGTGGATCACCTCCTCCTGCACCATGAACTGCACGTCGCTGCAATTGCCTTCCTCCAAGAGCGCGTGCATGTCGGAACCTCTGCAGCGGGGGTCGAGGATTCCGAATTTGGCACGCCTTCAGGACGGACTTCAAGCTCGAACTTCACAGCAGCTGCTCCTATAGCTCAGCCCAGCATTACCCCAGGGCTCCACGTATACAAACAGTACCTACTTTGGGGTCTAAAGTCTGTAAATAGCACCTACTTTGGGCTATTTGGAGCCCCAGGGTTATCACGCTTGGCTGAGAATGTCACAGACCTGCGAAGCGTTGATTTCTTCGGAGAACTTCGCTGGACACCACAACCGAAGCCTCTTGATCTGATATTTGTCACTGGCAGCCAAAAGGGACCTGAATCCGCGACAACTGAGCGCTTCGGCTCTCATTCTCGAATTCGCTTGAAATCCTCTTCGGAAGGAACTCCTTGGCATCCGGCCAGGTCATTGGTGTAGAGGCTCTACACCGATCACCTGCCGCAGGCCAAGCAGTTTCTTCCAAAGAGGAGTAAACTGCAGGAAGGCCCTGAAGGTGGCGACCTGGCAATCCTCGATCACGATGACTTTCGAGACGCGCTCCTGCATGCGGCCCGTCAGCTGCTTGCTGAACACAGGGCACCCGGTCGTCCTGCAACATGAAACGTACCTCTTAGGGTTTAGGGTTTAGGGTTTGGGGGTTTAGGGTTTAGGGTTTCCTCCAAAGTGCCTCTGTGTCCTTGTGGAGAGTCGGCTCGGGAACCTCTGCGGCAAGGCGCGGGCGCTGGCCTCTTTTGCGATTCCGACAGGGCGCACTCCGAGCTCGAACTTCACAATCAGGGTACCCATAGGCTCCATAGTAGTTCCTTTTTGGGATTATCTTATAGGATCCTGAATACAAACCACAAAAAGGAACTACTATGGAGCCTATGGGTATCGTTCTCGACCCACTCCGACTGCAGCAGCTCTTCATGGCTCAGCCCGAAGATGCCCAGAGAAGCAGGAGGATGACCCGGAGACAAAGTGGCTGCAGCTTTCGGTTCTCTTTGGGGAAAGTAAAAATCTCAAGTTTAGTACAACTCAAGAAAGCTCGCTGTCTCTACAAGACCTTGAGGTTTACGGTTCAGTGTCCTTGCGCACTCCCGGCCTGCCGAAAGTGTTCTTGCAAATGTCCCGATGCCATATGCACATCATCGACGATCAGCCGCATGCCACCAGACAGCCTGATCAGTCACGTGCAGACGGTCATGCATGCCTCTGGACACATCGCATATCTTACAGGATCAGAAAGCTGCGCCAAGGCTTTGTGGTTTTGCGTGGCGCGCGCAAGGTGCTTACCACAAATTACCTAGACACGCTTGCCTTACTTCTGCTTACGTAACCCATACACGAACAGAGGTCATCCAAGCAGGCACTATAGCTGTCAGGGTCTAGGTCCACTACAACCCGTGCTTGCTTCCGCATCGAAACTCTATCTTGTTGCTGTATTGGGGCGACGGTTCTACAATTCCATCGCTCTGGGATCAGGACTGACAGCCCTGTGGAGTTTGTACTGTGGTAGATAAGGGCCTTCTAGGGTGGAGGATCCAGTATCCCTAAGGGTCCACGTACCCAAATAGTATGTACTTTGGCCTTGAAGTAATCTCTATTTGGGTACTTTGGGGCTAATGTACACTATATGAGCACATGGACCCTTTGGGTATGGGGCTTGAGGCTTAGGTGTTTAGGGATTAAGGGATTTCGGGTTTCAGGCCACCACAACAGAACACTGGACAAGAATGAGCAGGCCCTCCCACAAACAACGGACATCCTCGAACGGAAGGCTGAAGTAGCCAGACTAGATATGTACATATGGATACATATATATATATATATATATTTACATACATACATACATACATACATACATACATACATACATACATACATACACACATATACACATTATTTTATGTATACATATGTGTATGTGTCTATCTATATATAGATGGATAGATAGATAGATAGATAGATAGATAGGAGGTGTGAGCATACATTAGCATGTGCATGTATGTATGTATGTATGTATGTAGGTAGGTAGGTAGGTAGGTAGGTAGGTAGGTACGTAGGTAGGTTAGGTAGGAAGGTATGTATATGTATATGTGCATGCATATGCATATGCATATGCATATGCATATGTAGATGTAGATGTAGATGTAGATGTAGATGTAGATGTAGATGTAGATGTAGATGTAGATGTAGATGTAGATGTAGATGTAGATGTAGATGTAGATGTAGATGTAGACGTAGATGTATGCATGCATGTACGTGTGTGTATATATATATGTTCATATTCTGCTACCTACACTACACTTGTGACTCTAGGTTACTCGGCTCCAATGTTTGACCGACAAAGGGACTCGTGGCATGTTTGCGAACTGTCAAATCGCCCTAGTCGAGCTGAAGACAACGGCAGCACGGGGGGGGGGGAATAACTGTTCCGTAACCAAGCACCTGAAAGCCCATGTATGTAGTACGGTTACTGTCTGTGAAAAAAAAGCTATGTAACCCCCTACGGGGCATGTATTAGCAATCCATTCTGTAGGCAACAGGGCTCTAGGGCTGCTTGACATACTGCTTTTTTGTTGCCTGCAAAAGACTGGGATTGTGGTCTACGACAGGTTCGCTTCTTAGATGGGGTCTGCGGGTCTGGGCAGGCTTGCCGGTCGTCGATACCCAGTCTCGGCGCTTTGCGCGTGCGAATCAAGAAGCCGAAACCCACCAAAACCCCTATACGCCTCACGCCTCTCAACCTCATACTATGCACCCTGACAGCCTGTTTGCCGCAAATCCTGCCACCTGGATGCCTAAAGCTGAGCCAGAATCGAGCCTGGGCTTCCTCAACCTTAAGAAGCGATCCAGGATGGCCTTGGCAGCCACAGGAGGATGAGCATGGGATTTAGGGTAACGACTCGAAGGGTTCGTGGGTTTAGGGTTGTATGTAGGCCCCACGAGGTCTCCTGAGGCCCAGCCACTTACCAAAATGGGCTGCGCTATCGTAGATCACCGAAATGCCAGGCGTTGCATGCATGTAGATGCGGGGGTTTCGCCGGGGTCCAAAAAAACCAGCAAAAGTACGAATGCTGCGGGGGTAACTGGGCTTCTGATGAGTGGTAGCCACATTAAGAAATTCAACAACAGAGGAGGTTTTCTAGGGCAAGTGCAGTAACACAGAAGTGTGTACCCTAAATGTGCAGACCTACCTGAAACACTCAGCGAACGCATCACCTCCATCGTTCAAGCCTATCCTAAGCCTTAGAAGCTCTACCTGAAGCCCGACAAAACTAGGCAGCGGTAGAAACAGCATCGAGATGGGAAGGAATTGAGGTCACAACACTTAGCAAGCAGCATTACAATCACCGATTCTAAGGTTTCCACGCATCACAGGTACGGACTGGGTCATGGGTCGTCTACCACGGGGCCCCCAAAGCAAGCCTCAAAGTGGATCTTGCGTTCCTAAATGCAAACACCAGACAGTAACACTGAACCCTAAAAACTTAACACCAAAACCTACGAGATCTGCCCACCGTCTTAGGATACTGCCCTACGCGGCACAACCCCGCACCATACAAGGCTGTGAAGATTAAACCCTAAACCCTAGACCCTGAACCCTAAATCCTAAACCCTAAAACCCTAAAGCCCTAAAAACCCCTAAACCCTAAATCCTAAACCCCTAAAAACCCTAAACCCAAGAAAAGCCATGATCCCCAAAGCAAACATATCCTAGACCCAAGAGAAACCTAGGANNCCTTTTTGGTTTAAAGGACTTTATAAGGGAACCTGAACCCTAAAAAAGGGAATAAGGGCCTACTCTGGGACCCCTAAACCTTCTAGAACCCCTAGACCCCCTAAACCCCCCTGGAACCCCTAAACCCCCTTAAACAGCCCTAAGCCCTAAACCCTAAAAAAGGGAATAAGGGCCTACTCTGGGTCCTAGTATCCAGGCCCTAGGACTGTGCACAGCCTCAGACTCTGGAGGTTGGTCCCCCCGTAAGCCAAAACGGTTTAGGGTCTAGGGGTTTAAGGTTTTAGGGTTTAGGGTTTAGGGTTCAGGGGTTTTAGGTTTTAGGGTTTTAGGGCTCAGAGTTTTAGGGTTTAGGGTTTTAGGGTTCAGGGCTCTAGGGAATTAGGGTTTAGGGAACAGGAGGAAAGGGAGCACACAACCTCCCTTGTGATCCCAAGCCCGTATAAATTCACCATGTGATGTCGGTCTAAATCCTAAAAATCCCTAAACCGGTCACTACCCATGGGCTCCATAGTAGTTCCTCTTTGCATTTAGGATCCTATAAGGTAATCCCAAAAGGGAACTACTATGGAGCCTATGGGTAGGTCCAAACCGGAGTCGGAACCTGTTCCAGAGATCCCTTACCACTCCTGCGATTTAGGGGGTCCAGGGTTTAGGCTTTAGGGTTTTTATGGCTTTAGGGTGTTAGGATTTAGGGTTTAGGGTTTGGGGTTTTAGGATTTTAGGGTTTAGGGTTCAAGGTTTAAGGTTTAGGGTTTAGGGTTTAGAAAGCGCGAGATCCGAGCGGTTGTGGCGCCGTGCGGGCAGCGAAAGAGCTCTGGCTGTTGGCCCAGCCTCCCGACTTTTTCTATAGAGGGTTTCGGGTTTAGAGGCCGGCCCCGAATTGTAGGGCTTAAGGGTTTATAGGGTTTAGGGTTTAGGGTTTAGGCGGTTTAGGGCTCAGGGTCGATAACTGCAGGGCCTGTACCTCTTGATAGGGCTTTTATGTAGGGCTGTGGCTGCTCCAGCCTTCTGGCATCGGAAGTAGGAGGGGCTTCAAACTAGAATGAAGCTCCAGAGGGATTAAGCAAAAGCAGCCTGGTAATTGGACTGCGTAGGCTTTGACCTGTCGTTCGGACACCGACAAAGGGGGGTCTGTAGGGCTTCGGAATTCTGGACTTTCGGGTTTACCCATCGGCTCCATCGTACTTCCTTTTTGGGATTACCTTATAGGATCCTAAATATAAACCACAAAAAGGAACCATAATGAACCCTAAACCCTAAACCTACTATACTGGAACCTAATTAACTTAATTATAAACCACAAAAAGGAACTATAATGAACCCTGAACCCTAAACCTACTATAATGGAACCTAAATACCTTACATACAAGCCACAAAAAGGGAACTACTATGGAGCCTAAACCCTAAACCTACTATAATGGAACCTAACTACAAAAAGGGACTACTGATATGGAGCCTATGGGAAAGGCCTTGAGAATGCAGGCTCTGATGGAAATTCCAGAGTTTCAGGGTTGTTTTGAGGCCCGGGGTTGAGATGGTGGTGGGGGTTAGGGCTTTAGGGTTTTAGGGTTTTAGGGTTTAGGGTTTTAGGGTTTGGGGTTTTAGGGTTTAGGGTTTTAGGGAAGCGTTTGGCGTAGACTGTGGACTAGGTTGGAGGTTGCAAGTATGACATCCCATAATGCGTTCTGAATCGCTACATCGGGAACGAGCTCATCGTCTTTCTGGGATGTTATCTTGCAGGTCTCTGGGGTCTTCTAGAGGAGGTGAGCCTGAACCCTAAGCCCTAAGCCGTACACCCTAGTACCCTAAAAACTGTAGATCCCCGTACAACAAACCCACCCTATCTGCAGTCGCATCCGGACTCTGTACACACTACAACGCTCTGGGAAATCAACACCCGAGATTCCACCGAAAGCACAGCCTACACAACCCTTTACAAAACTAACCCTGTAAACAAGTGTCTACAAAACCCGACACCCTTCCAAAGTAATTAGCCCTGTCAGTAGCCCTTACCCAGAGGCTCCATAGTAGTTCCTGTTTGTGGTTTATATTTAGGGTTCCTACAAGATAATCTCAAAAAAGGAACTGTGGAGCCCATGGGTAGCCCTTACAGCAGCCCTCGCAGTACCCAGAGACTCCAATATCCCTTCATTCAGGAATATACCTTAAATTATAATAGGAACCTTAATAAGAGTTAAGGTATATTCCTTAATTAAGGGATATTGGAGTCTCTGGGTACCCCTTGTTTTAACTGGTCGCGGCCCGGGCCCGGTGGAACGCAACAGCAGCTGTGCCAAAGCCTTGGTGATCTTTTAGTCGGTTTAGGGTTTACCTTAACCCCCAAAAAACCCTACCTTTTTAGGGACATATACAAAGAACTCATAATAAGGAGCCCTAAAAAAGGGTAGGTTCTTTAGGGTGCA